ACCCAGTACTTTTCCTCTGTTTACTTGACAATTTTCTGTCTGCCGCAGCCGAGCGGGACCCAGCGCCAGGGGCCGGCGCAGAGCCAGCAGCGGGGACGTGGGGCAGAGGGGTCTGTGCCGCGGTGCCTGCGGCAGTCGATGGGGCAGCGCAGCGGTGCCGTGGGGACGTTACCCGTGATGGAGCCGTGCTGTGGGGCTGAGTGGGCAAAGGGGAGGGGAATGAGGGACCAGGGTCTGTGTGGGCGGGATGCAGGGACAGGGGTGGGGTCATGGAGGGGGACAGGACAGACCCTGTGCAGAGCCATGGGGTTGGAGGCGGCAGCCCCCACAGAGCCGCTGGCCCCCCGGCCGCTGCGTCACTGCGGCCTCCTGACGCGGTAACGGGCCTAATTGAGGCAAATTGCTGGAGCAGGGAGCTGTTTCTGGGAAGGTAAATATGGGCACTGCAGGCGCGGGGTTGCTGCTCCAGCATTGCCATGGAAACACCCCACTTTCACCCCTGCAATGGCCCCACAGAGCCAACAGCACCCCCAGACCCTGCCCAGGGCCCCACGTCTGCACACCATGACAGGGAGCCCAAGCCAGCACCAGCCCTTGTGATATCCCTGTGGCAATGTCTATGGCACTGCCCCACAGCCCCTTGTTGTGTCCTGCTCCCCGGCTGGCCGCATCACCCCCCAAGGGGCCTGTGTTGGGGCAGCTGAGTCCTGACCCCCACCCCTGGGGGCCAAGGCACATGGCAAGGGCTGGCTGGGGCTCAGGGCTGGTGGCACCCTGAGCAGGGCTGTACCTGATGGTTGTGGGGAGCTTCGTGCATGTCCCCCTACAGCCTGCACCCAGCACAATGGCGTGGCACTGCCATGTGCGCCCTGGCAGCACCCCAGGGTGCAGGTCTCGGCAGCACAGCCTGCATCCAGCACCCCACAGTGCATCTCAGGCAGCACAACCTGTACACCACACACACAAACACACAGAGACAGCCCTCGGCTGCCCATCAGGAGCCACTATTCCCAGCACCTGGTGGAGTGAAGGTGCTGCCACCAGCCCATACAGCCCAGGCAGAGAACCCCAGACTGGTTTGGGTTGGACCTTAAAGCTCCTCCAGCTCCAATCCCTGCCACGGGCAGGGACCCCTTCCACTAGAGCAGCTTGCTCCAAGCCCCTGTGTCCAACCTGGCCTTGAACACTGCCAGGGATGGGGCAGCCACAGCTTCTCTGGGCACCCTGTGCCAGCGCCTCAGCACCCTCAGCATGAACAGTTTCTTCCCCAGTGGTGCTGGGGCCGAGCCCAGGCTGCTGCAGTCCCACCTCTGGGAACCAAAGGTGTGGAACGGGGCTGGAGCCATCACAGTGACCGGGGCAGCAGCTCCCCCGCGGCTGCAGCAGCGCCTCGCATGAGAACTCCCACTTTATCAAGGGAATTGAGCACCACAAATTGGTGTTCTAAGTAGATCCTGCCTGCTGCCGGCCACTCTTCGCACTGCTAATGCAATGATACAACGCATACCTCTCCTCCTCCCACCAGTTAATCTAATGACAAGCACAGTATCCGAGTCATAGGGAAAATAAACCCTCACTGGATTCGATTTTTAGAGGTAAACAGCCTCATTTCTGTGCCTGCGGCCTCAGCCCCTCACAGGCACCCCCCCACCGCCCTCCTCACCCCGGTGTGGTATTAGTATTTATAAACATGCCCTGGAGATGGGATGGGGTTTGTACATTGCATTAGGGTTGGAGCGACTTTGCCTCTGGCTGCACAGGGCCCGAGCCAAGACACAAACAAGGCAGGTGCCAGTGGGGCTGGGCTGCAGGACCCCCAGTATGTGCCTTGGGACACAGCTGCAGCCCCCGCCGCAGGGAGCAGAGCTGGGCTCTGTGGCAGTGGCTGGCCAGGGGAGGAAGAGGAGTGGGCACCGCACAGAGCCCGCTCCGCACCAGCCATGACCCTGGCTGGGCACTGGAGCCAGTCGTTGGCAGCTCACTGCACCGGAGCATGGGGGACAGGCCCCATGGATGAGCTGCTGCACCCCAGCAGTGTCAGCTCTTGGTGTGCTGGGGAAGCCCCATCCTGCTCCCCTCACAGCACCCACAAGGTGCAGGATCCAGCCCCTTCCCACCCCTTAGGACACATGGCTCCAGCCATGCTTCGAGCCAGGGCAGCCACACGTCTGCCGCGCTCCCAGACACACCACAGGACACATCCTGCAGGAGAAGTCAAAGGAGAAGGGCAACTCTCACCTCCTGCCTCTGCACGCCACGGGTTGCAGGGTTCCTCCCCAGGGTGGCTCCTGCACTGCCCCTCTGTGCCAGAACCAGGCACTGCACCCTGAGAATGCTTTGGTGATGGGAGGGAAACAGGGTCATGGCTAAGTGTAAAGATGCACTTGAGGAGAAATTCTAGCAATGCTAAGTATAGTTTAAATGCCATCGAAGCAGGGGAGGGAAGAGGATCCGGGTGTATTAATAGTCTCAACATTTAGATGTCTAGTCCAGTGACAGCCCCTGGGATGCTGGCTCGCAGGAGGGCTGCCAGTGCCCAAGGGCACTGTGCTACCAGCAGCGCCAGGTCATACACGCCTGTGGTGGAATGAGGAGCCCAGAGCAAGGGCAAGATTCCTTCTGGAAACAAGAAATAAAAGTGCGCAACAGCTCCTGTGCCCTGTGACTGCTCCCGAGGACTTGGTCAGGCCGTTACGGCCATTGCTGAGGTCTGAAATGGGAAACATGGGGCTCCTCTAACAGGAATGGTTTGTAAAACTAAAAAGCTGAAGAACAAGGGCCCTGCGCCAGCGTGGCTGCAGCACCCACAGTGCAGCGGAGGGACAAGGGAATCAAGAGGGAATGGTTCACCGGAATGGCACAGCCACATAGCCCTGCCCTGGGCCATTGCAGCACCAGGCAGCATCCCACTGCTCCAAAGCACACAACCCCCAGTGAAGGGACCAGCCCTGTGCCCGGCCAAGGCAGCGGCCTGTGGGCTGCAGTGGGCAGCACCACACCAAGGCAGACCCAAAAGGACACCAGCTTTTATTTACAACACGCCTCAAGTGACAGACAACAGAAAAAATAGAAAAAAAAACCAAACCAGAACAGTCTAGCTCAGTGACTCAGGAGAAGAAAGGGAATGGCAGCCACAGGTCCCCTGCACCCCCCAAACCAACTGGTGCTGGCCAGAGCCCCGGCAGCCCCTGCCCTTAGAACCAATGATGAGCCTTGCCTGGAGTGAGGGGCCCAAGAAAGCCCCCCCCTGGTGTGAGTTACACTGACTACAGCTGCCCCCCCAGTGACACTCCTGCCAGCTGTGGAGGCCGGATCTCATCCATGGGTGCACATCTGGAAGTGGTGTTGGTGTAACACAACCCAGCGCTGCTCTGGAAGGGACGGCAACAGTCAGAACCGGCCACCCCCTGCTGCTGCCTGCTCTGGAGCTGCAGAGCTCTGAGGTGGGGGCACCAAACCCCCCTCCAGGCACCCCACAGGCACTCGGGGCAGGGGCCAGGACTGACACCCGAGCGCTCTTCACCTCCAGCTCCACAGGGATCGGCCCAATCTAAGCACAAAGTAAATCCAGCCTCGGATACAGGCCCAACAGCTCTGACAGCACTGACCAGCCCCAGACACCAGCAGCCCCAGTGGAAATTACACTCTATGGAAGCAAGGAAGAATGACCAGGGTGCAACTGGTGCAGCACAAGGGGTGTCGAAACGGGGCTGCCTTCCCGAGGCACAAGGATGGAACTGATGCTCCCTCCTTCTTTCCCAGCAGTGGTAAATCCTCGGTGCACAGAAGGAAACAGAGAGCTAGCGCTGCCTCTGCTGACAACGCGGCCGGTCTGCTCTGCCCTGAGCCCTGCCACACACCAGAGCCCAGGCAGCCCACACACACAACGCACCAGGGGCAGAGATGGAAGGAGAACAGGAGACCTGTGAGCCCAGCATGAAGAGGAGAAGGACAGCTTGAGGCCAGAGAAAGCTATGAGTGGGGGACTGGAACCCTTTGCAACAGGCTCTGAGCATCCTCAGCGAGCACCTTTGATTTCAGGTAGCTTCCGAGCCAGCCCCGGAGCTGACCGGCTCTCCCGTAGGCTTTTGGGAGCACAGACCAGAGGAGGAAATCAACACAAAATCTCAACTGAAATCTGCTTGAGGCCCTTGGAGCGCAGCCGATCCGCGGGGACTCGCCTTAGGACTTCTTCGCGTCCTGTGTGTTCCTCCTCTTCAGATCACCCAGGTCGACAGGTTTGAACGCTGCGGGGAGACAGGAGGGGCTTTGGCGGCAGAGGCCGCGGCGCGGTGCGGCCGGGCCAGGGCCGGCAGGAGCCGCGGGGAGCCCCCGGCCCCGCTCACCTTTCAGGCTGGGGTTCGGCATCTTCTCCACGTACTCCTCGACCAGGCCGCGCTCGGAGCCCATCTGGCTGCGCAGGTCGCGCTCCACGCACTGCCAGGCTGCGGGGACACGGGTGAGAGGCCGCCCGCCGCCGCCGCCGCCGGGCCCGGCCCCCGCCCCCGCCCCGCTCACCCTCGTAGATGAAGCGCACGTTCTCCTCGTGGGCCGGCGTGAAGATCTCGCTGCCGGCGCCGGGGGAGCGCGGGCCGCCGCTCCGCTTCCCGTTGTAGACCACGCGGGACACGGGGGAGCTGAAAGCGAAGCGCGGGGCTGAGCCGGGCCCGGGGCCGCGGCTGGGCCCGGGGCCGGGCGGGGCTCACCTGGCCATGGCGGCGGTGCGGCGGCGGCGCGGCTCGGCTCGGTGGCTGCGGGGAGAAAGGAGAGGGCGGCCAGGCCGGGGCTAGGCCGCGGGCCGCCCCCCGCCCGTCGCCATGGCAACGCGCGCCCCTCACCTGGGCCCGGCTCCCGCCTCCGCTCGCCCTCGGGCCGCCACGGAAGCGCCGCAGCGCGCATGCGCGGTCCCGCCCCGCTCTGGTTCCGTTCCGTTCCGTTCCGCTCCGCTCCGCCCGGTCCCGCCCCGGTCCCGCCCCGCCCCGCGCACGGACCCGGCGGTGCCGGCACTTGGTTTATTGGAAAAGTACAAAGTGGTTCCCGGGGCGCAGCTCCCGGCGAGCTCCTGCCCGCCCGCCCAGGCCCAGCCCGGGCCCGGCCCCGCTCCGCTCCCCGCTGAGCGCCGCCTCAGCCCATCGTGGCAGCCCCGAAGAGCTGCACCAGGTCCTGGTACTCGGGGTCGATGAGGTCCGAGGGCTTCTCGCCGCTGTCGGTGGTGGCCTCCGGGCTTGCCCCGAGAGAGATGAGATACCTGCAGGAGACGGGGGCTGAGCCCGGGCAGGCCCCTGTGCACCGCCGACACCGGGCAGCCCCCAGGAGGAGGCGCCGGAGCTCGCTGCAGCCCCGCCGCTCTCGATCCGGTGCTCGGGGCTATGCCGGGCCCAGCGAGGAGCTCCCTCCTCACCTGGCGATGTCGGCGTAGCCGTCGCTGCAGGCCATGTGCAGGGGCGTCCACCCGTTCTCATCTCGCTGGTGGATGTCGGCGCCGTACTTAACCAGGAGCTTGACACAGGCCAGGTTCCCAGTGAGCACAGCTTCGTGGAGGGCTGCCATGCCTGGAAGGAGAGGGTTTGTTAGCCCTGGAGCGGGACAGGAGGCTTAGTGCTGAGCTCACAAGTGTCCACGGCCCAGGAAGGACCGAGGCAGCAAACCCGTGTTATCAGGGAGATGACTTTGGGGAAAGAAAGAGACTGAGGAAACAAGAGGAGCTGCTGCAGGTTTCTGTTCCCCTTCCACGCCCTACCCAAGCTGGGGTAGCACCCACCTCCGCACTGGGGCAGGCAGGACAGATCCAGGGAGGAGTAGATGCCCCTTCCTGCAGAAGTCCCTGGCCAGCAGCCAGCCCCAGGTTCTGGCCGGCACTCACACTGGACATGGGCAGAGTGCGTGTAGGGTTCTGTGCTGTCCAAGTTTTGGAAGCTCTCATGGAGCAAGTGTTGAAGCAATTGGCATGGACAGGAGGAAGCTCGAGGTCATTTGAGACCCTGTCTCCATGTCCATGTGACAGCAGAAGCCAAAGCCAAGCACAGGAAAGGGACAAACCTGCCCTCTGGACTGCACACTGTGGATCACAGCATTCCATGAACAGTTGCTCGTGAGGCTTGGTGCAAACACAGCACGATGCCTTCCCACAGACAGACCTGCTGCAAGTCCACAGACCCAGATACGCAGAGAGGGTGGTGTTTGTGAGAAACGGAGCGGGAGCACATGCTCCAGAGAGGGTGGATGGTCCCGTGCAGGGCTTCGCAGACCAGCCTGTGCCCACTGCTGCTTGCCTAGATCCCACCACACTGTAGGTCCCTAGCGTGCCTTGAAGGGACGCAGGGGTCGAGCTGCCCCCTTCACTGGCCATGCTGCTGGGTAAGATTTTGGGGCACTGGCATGGGCCTCTCTTGGGCCCTGCTTGGCAATGTTGAGGCACCGCTCCTCACTGGGGAGGAAGACGACTCGATTCCAACCCATCACCCTGCTGATGTGGGCCATATCCTAGCTTTGGCCACACAGCTCCCTGTGTGCCACTGCACATTCCAGCTCTGCCAGCCCCGGCAGCACTCACCAGAGGGGTAGATGGTGTCCAGTGTCACCTTCCTGGCACGTATGAACCTGCCCACCTGCTCCAGGTCCCCCTGCCTGATGTGGTCCTGAAAGACGATGTCATTGGGGAAGTGCACGGTGCGTGCAGCTCTCAGTTTCTGCCTGTACCGACTGTACCGTGGCATTGAGACCAGGTAATAGTCCTTCATGCTGGTGGCAGCCTTCAGGCACTGTGGGGGGAGAGGAGGCGCACGTTGCTCAGTGCTTCGTCCTGCCGCTCACTGTCCTCCAGGTGCTGCTTTTCCTCTTCTGTTTTGGTGTGTTGGGTCCCTCCTCAGCAGTGGAATGATGGCAGCCGCACCACTGCAGTCCCTCACACCCGTCTCGTGTCCCTGGTGGGTCGGGTCTCCCTCGTCGTGAAGCTCTCCCTATGCTCCCATGCAGGACACAGGAGGCAGCAGTAAGCACATGTGCTTCCTGCAGGCCCTTGGCCCAGGACTGATGTTTCTGCCCCAGCGCTGTGTTATAAAGGCTCCCACGGGCTATTTTGAGGACATGCAGCTCATGCTCTTTGCCACGACACTTCGTAATCGAGCTGCCCGGGCCAGCAGCCACTTTTGGGCAGAAGTGGGTGTCTCATCTTACCACCCACCTGTCCATGTCCCCATCCAAGGGGTCAGACCTGCTCTGGCTTTTTCATGGAAAGCTTTTCCGAGGAGGCACCAAAGCCCCAAAACCAGAGCTTCCCAGCAGCAAGCCCTCACACACAGACACGTGTGCCAGGGAAAAGGCACAAGCATGAGCACCAATGAGGGGAACCAGCGGACGTGTCAAAGCTGCAGTGCCAAATACATTCAGAGCTAAGTCACTCTGCTGTACTTGCATCAGACATGTTGAAAGGAGTAGAATGAGCTGTGCTGCCCAGCATGGCAGTTAGGCAGCATACAGCTAACGAGGATCAGCACCAGCATGTTGGAGCACAGCAGTGCTACTGGTGCTCCTGATGCAGGCGCAGAACCAGAAGCCCATGATGCCAATCCACAGTGTTCAATGTCCTACTTAACACGAGGGCAGGCTGCTGTAGAACTGTCTGAAAATAGCTGAAGAACAGCAGCACCACCAGACACTTCTGCATTTGTTACCCTCCAGCTGTAGCTGTCAAACCCATCTACCACACAGGAATCTTTCAGATCCACCAAGGGTTCAAGCAACTGCTCTCCTGTGCTTTTCCCTGTCACAGTCTGGTCATTGAAGATACACAAGCACATGGTGCCCTGGTTTGTGCCGATGGGCCTGTCCAGGTAGGCGTGTCAGGAGTCACAGAGCTCCCCCATTCTGCCCCTGCAGCAGCTCAGGCACACACCAAAGAACCGCCTGCACTTGTTTATCTGCTGGCAAACGCATTGATCTCTGCACTGAGCATCCCTGCTCAAGGTTACTGCAGACAGAACACTAACAGACTGAGCGAACTGCTTTTAGCCTCCTTTCTTAGAACAGCAATTAGCTGTGTACACAGGGTGACTGACAATGCCCTGCTCTACCAAGAGAAGCCTCGGTGCATGAGGAGAGCCCCCTCCTCAGCCCCAGCCCTGGTTCTGCTGTGCCAAAGGCCTGTGCAGACCATGCCAGGGCCCTGCTCCAGGGAGCCACAGAAGAGGCTGCAGCTGCAGACACACATGGAACATGCTCCTGTTCTACCACCCCAAGCACCCACATTCAGTGGCAGACACCAGTAGCCTCACGTGTTGCCCTCCAGCCTCACCTTGCCCTCCCCTCTGACATTTATAGCATTATTTCCTTACAAAAATATTTCCAGCAGTAAGTGACTGGTTTGGAAATAGCAGCTCAGCTCACAGGTCATATGAGCCTGAGCACCACTGCTGCAGGCAGCCCCAGGTCCCGCCGTAGGCAGAGTCCTCGGTTAACTGCTCAGGAGCAGTGAGGGCCAGCTAGCCCAAGCCCCTGTCTGATCACTGCTAATAGAACAGGTCTAACCTGGACAGGACATGGCCAAGCTGAAGCTTTTTCCCTTTACAGACAACACAAGCAGCTTTAGGTTAAGTCATCAGAAGGCACCTGCAATGCTGCAAGTGTTTTGGAAGTGCCCTTTCTCTGAAAACCATGGGTAGAGTTTTGAGAAAGCAAACATCCACCCCTATTCCAAAAAAGACAGAGACAGAGTAGTATTAAAATCTCAACTTTATTTGGCCAACAAATCGAGTTCCAATGTTACTGTAGCAGAATGCTAAGAACCAGCCTGATGCAGCTCAGGCCTCTGAGGCACTCCCCCATTCAAGCTCCTCCCCAAACCCCAATAATTGCAAGTGTCCTGTTTGATCCGGCTCATCAGACCCTCCCACACCACCCCCCTGTCGACCCCCTCCAAATAATGCATGGAAAATGATTGCAAAGTCTTGCATTTGATCAAAGGATGGCAACAGAGCCAGGTCTCGCCTGCACTGGCGAGCGCTCACCTCCACCCCAGAGCCTGCCACAGCCAGTGCACAGTATTCCACCCTTCTGGGTGATCAGAATAGTCATCTCCAAGTGTCTTAAAGCAGAAGGGAAAGGAAACATCTGGCCAGCATGAAGAGAAGCACCTGCATATATACCTCTCACCAGGCTGCCTACCTACACTGAAGGCCAATTCCAGGGAAGAGCTGCTGAGAGCATTAAGGACCCTGCCAGGTGCAGAAATCAGCTGCAGGCTGCAGTTTTAAAAGAAACAAAGGGAAAAAAAAAAAAATTTTCTTGGGAGGTGTCAGTGGCAAAGCTCCAGGAGGCTGAGCCAGGGCTCGTGCTGCGGCTTCACAATCGGCTTCTACCCACAAGAACAGAATACTTCAAGCAAAAGCTGTGTACAAAAGAGTACATCCCACTAAAGAGGAGCGCAGCGGGGACGGCTCCCTGGTGACAGGTCCCTTCTCAAAAGCCAAACTTTGAAAAGAGTCGAGTGTACAGACAAGTGAGGGGAAAGTGTTACTTTAAAAGCCAACCCCTGGATTTTCAGTCATTCACCTTCTGCTTTAAATCTCAATGGTTCTGACTCGCTGGGCTGCATAACAGCAGCCAATTTAGTGTCTGATATTTTGGGTGATGTCGATCAGTCTTCTGTTTACAATTCATCCTTCTGCATTTTCTGCTCTTCATCATCACCTTCTTCAAGGTCTGTTTCTTCATCTGTCTCCAGGTCCTCCAGATCCTGTAACAGGTTACAGACAGCTGCTGGTTTCTGGTGCACTAGGCAGATCCTAGAATAGTACATCTGATCTGTTCACTGTTCTCTGCTGCCATGTTAAACACCCAGAGACTTCCACCAAGAGCTCAACGTCTGGGACATTATGTATTAGAAACCCCTGGAAGCTGGTACCTCACTTGTAAAAGCCTCCACCCTAGATACACAGGACACGTAATGTGCATCATACTACTTAAGTTTCAAGTGCTGAGCAGGACTTCTCAGTAAAGAACAAGCCCCTAAAGTACTCCAGCAGTTTGCACAACAGCCAGAGACAGCCTGTGAACATTTACAGCTTCACCAACTGTTTCCACACATTTGTTTAGGCCTCTGAAAAGCATTTATTTCACACCCAACTGAAGTGCTGCCAATGAAAGGTGTCATTTACAAGCCACTGGCAGCCAGGCTGCAACTGAAAATTTGATGCTGGTGAACATGCTGATCACCAGCAATACCTTTCCTGCCACAGAACCACCCAGAATCTTATCTGGAACAGAGGACAGAAGCCCAGCACCAGGTCTGACCCCCACTCCTTGTTCTGAAGGCCCAGAATTGCTGCCACATTCACATTACTCACATCATCAGCTGCTGCCCCGTCCTGACCTCCACTCTCCAAGAATTTCTTGAAGCCTTCCAGCGTCCTCTCCCCATTGTAGTCAATTACCTACATAGGGAAAAACATCAGGATAATGGTTACGGGCACCTACAGAACCACAGGCCTGGGGAGGAGAATTCTCTCTCTGAGCAAAAGTCAACATGCCAAGCAAAAGGGAATTTAAAAATTCACCTTCACCCATATGAGACGAAGGAAAACAGCTCAGGCACTAGACTTCAGAGATCACTGCGAGGAAAGAATAGCCTGCAGATGAGCACACTGTCCTCTATGCTCCCTGTTTTCCCCACTCCCACCCCCACCAAACTCCTTCCTACAGCCCAGCTCCCACACAGGGTCTCTCATGTCCTGTAGACTTGGTGTGTTCTATCCTGACAGAGTGGAGAGGCCTCCCAAAGGCTCATTCAAGCCAGCTCCAGCAGGCAGCTAAGCATTCCTGGGGCTCCCTCATTGCACCACCCTGATCAGCTGCCTCCTTACATTTCTGCCAGAGCCTGCAGGGAAGAACTTGAGTGTGGGGAAGCTGTGGATTTTCACTGCCTCCACTTCATTGGCTGTTGAATCCATCTTGGCAATGACAACGTTCTCATGATCCCTGTAGGTCTCTCCCAGCTTGTCCCAGATCGGAGCCAGCTGCTTACAGTGACCACACCAGGGGGCATCTGTTAATTACAGAAAGCCAATTAGCACCAGCAGCCTAATGAGCGACCACCAGCCCCCCCCAAGTGCCCACACAGACAGTTCACACACGTCTTTTCAGCCAGGGCACTCCCTTTGCGGCTTAGATCCTGTAGGGTGCTTCCTCCCTAATCCCGGTCTTGCGGAATTTTGGCACTCCTTTCATGCCAGTTACTTGGAATCAGCTGCTGAAAGATACTCACAGAACTCCACAAAGACATTCTTATTCTCATCAAAAGCAACTTCTTCAAAGTTCTTCCCAACTAGAACTTTGACAGGCTGCTTGTCCCAGTCATCAGGAAGATCCTGACTCATCAGGTGGGGCTGGAATAAGAAGTGAAATTCAGAGATAGCCACACAGCTGCTGGAATGCACACGCAATCATCCTGGCAACCCGGAGCTTAACCACCCACCTCAGCACCCCAATCACAGGCTGTGAGCGAGCACTGAAGCAGCCACTTCCTCTTCTCCTACATAAAGTCTCCTCCCCATCCAAAGCCAGTGGGAATATCAGGTGCTGCTCTGCAGAGAGCTGCCACTGAGCTCCACAGGAAGGAAGTGATATTGCTGCCATTCCCACAGGGCTGAGTTTCACCAAACAGTCACCTCTGGTATAAGCTGCATAGAGCCTGCTCCCGAGACAAGAGCTGAAAGCTCTGAACTGGGCTGCACAAGTTCACACCTTCCACAGACTGCTGGCAGCTCCGACTGCACTCGGGTGCCAGCTCCCTGGCCCGCAGTCTTCATGCCCTGGTACTATTGCCAGCAGCACTTCTCTTCCTTACCTTGATTTTGCCCTCCAGGAACTTATTGCAGAACTCTCTGATCTTGTCAGCTGTGAGGTCATCTGAGTCCGGCTTGTATTTGGTCATCTCCTCCTCCAGGGTGATCAGGCGCACAGCTGGACACTCTTCCTTCTTCAGGCCAAAGAACTCCAAAATCCTCTGGTTGTCGCTGTGGTCACTGTCTATGAAGATGAAGAGGATCTTTGGAGGAAAAAGTCAAAGGCAGTTGGTGAAGACGAGCACCTCTTGGCTAACAACACAGTACACACACACTCCCACAGGTAGTGACTGAACCGGCCACTCTTCCTTCTCCAAGCCCATGAAGAGGGCACCCTGCCAGAGCACAAACACGAGCTGCAGCACGGGCACAGCCTGGCCCTGATTTAAGGGCTGGGTCAGATTTACATCCACAAGAGGGAAAGTCTGTAGTTGATTGCTATTGCCTCAGCAGTTGTGCAAGCCAGTGACTCAGTCACCTTCACCATGAGGCACAGGCAGAGTGAGAGCTGCTACAAGTCCTGCTCCACAACTGTGAAATGGAGAGCGACAGACCGTGCTGCACTCCTCTGCAGGAGGTGGCCACTTAACTCATAATGCAAGAAACCCATCTCACCTTCCCTTTGAAGTTCCCAGCTGCACTCTTGAAGTTGTCGAGCTTCTCTTGATAGTCAGACACGCTTTTTGGCAGGAACAGCAGGATGTGAGTCTTGATCTCCCCTCCAAAGATTTTAGGAGCAGTCTGAGGAATAGAAAACAAACTTTATTTCTGGAAGAGGCAAACTGGTGTCAAGACCAGTTTGGGTCTGCTATTCTGAGCAAGCCATAGGAGCCTCCAGGTTAAAGGAGGACTTTGAGCAGAAGCTTTGACTCCACTCCCTTGTGTTCTCCACACTCCTCCATAACCCCAGACTAGTGTCAGCTCCAAGATACGACACAATCTGCAATTTAAGCTTTGATATATTCACGTGGTGGCAATGGGAAGAGGCCTTACCATGTATCTAGAGACCAACCTGTTCAGTGAACTCTATGACCAGAGGCAACGAATTGGACTTGATGAAGTTCAGTAAATTGTCTTTTGTGAGATCCCCTTCAAAGCTGTTGCGGCCTTCATCAAACTGCAAACCCAGAAATTCTTGCATTAGAACACTTCAGATCCCACCAGAGTCACTGCCCCAGCAGATCTCAGCTGCACTTGCTCAGAGCAGACTTCTGGCTCTTAACAAAGTCACCACATATTCACATAACACCCGGATCAAGGTATAAATCTTCCTGGCAAGCAAAGCCTTAGACCATGCCCCCAGCAGCAAAAGGTGAGCAGCTACAAGACAGCTTAATCTTGGCACTGTTCTGCACAGTCACACAGCAACACGTGAAACAGGTCCAAGGACTTGAGCCTCAACTTTGTGGAGGCATCAGGTAGATGCTCCACAGCAAGCAGCTCCCAGGGCACAGGCAGCTTCTGCTGCAGGAATCAGCCACGTGAGAGCAGACACACATTTGAACCAGTGCTATGGGAAGTGTGACAGCTGAGCCCACGGTCACTGCACAGAGCAGCACTGACTTGGCTCTGCAGGGCTGGTCCAGTCTGTTGTTAGAGACAAGGGCACCTGTTTAACACAGGCCAGGAGAGGTGCCAGGGCCCAGTTTAGAGCAGGGCATCACCTGCAGCCCTGGGCAGGTTCTCAGAAGCTCCCTGGCAGGCCGGGAAGGGAACAGCTGTGGAGGCCCATCAAGGTGAAAGAGGATGTGGAGGGACAGGGTAGTCCCGTGCCTGGGCAGCACCGAGGCACTGGCACAGCAAGAGCCCGGGCTCAGATAACCTCCTGCTGGAAGAGGCAAAGCAGTGTCAGCTGAGGAGCTGAGCAATACCCTCCACATTGGAGATCAACTCTGTAAACACTTCAAAGTATTCCGAAGGTGCTAAGGCGACGTTCAGCAGTTCTTCAAGGGTCTTTGCAGGTCTGCACAGCTTCCACAGGGAGCAAGAGGAGAATGCCAATCCAACAAACCCAACCAGCTGCCGGAGTCCAAACACAGAACTGCTGGTAGAATAAACTATTTCTTATGCCCTGGTGTTGTCAGCATTGGTGCTCATTTCCACCTTGGTTTGGGGTGGGATACCCCTTACTGGGGTAAAGACCCCCTTAATGTGACAGGCTTATCTGAGAGTTCTCATGACATGGCACTAAAACAGGACCAGGGAGGCAGCGTCCACATCTCGCCTTCTCCACACCGAGCAGAGCGCTCCTGCAGTGACCCAGCAGCTCCTGAACTGCCCTTTGGACCACGGCTCCTCCCACTCCCCACACACCTGACAGAGCTGCCGGGTGCAGAACTGCTTTTCATTCCAAAGGCACCCCCAAGCCAAAGCTGAGAAGCCCTGCAAGCAGCAGTTTCAGCCCAGCGCTGGCCATGAACGGAGCATGCAGGGAGGTCGCTTACAGAGCTGCACGCAAGAGCACGATAAAGGCAGTGAGTCAGCCAGGAACAAAATGCTGTTCCCTTCACCCCAACTCCCTGAGCTGCAAAGCCCTGGTGTTCTGAACCACACAGCAGGAAATTTACTTGCACCCTCAGCCACACTAATCTGAGGGCCCCCTGTCTGAGAGCTGAAGTCTGCAAGCCTGTAACAGCAAAAGTGCAAATTCAGGTGTACTGGAATCAAACATGCTATTTTAGCTGAACAAAGAGTGACAGGAATTCATTCAACTCTTCAGCCTGTCTTACACCAAACTGGTCAGAACAATGACCGATTAGATGACAGATTTATTAAGTCTGAAGCCAAAGCAGCTTTATCCTGCCCCACTGCACCCATGTGTGTGGTACCACAAAGTCCAAGAAACATCTACTTGTCCTCTCCAAGTTAAAAATTCATGCCAGTGGTTTAGGATTTTGATAGTAAAAGGCATGAGTAAGTTTATTTCTGACTCTGTAGATGGCCAGATCCCCCTGCATGTAACCCAACCGCCCCAGCCTAAGTCAGCTGGAGCTGCAAATCCTCTTAGGAACTCCACTGGTATCACTCACTTCCTGCAGAACCCACAGCGCTGCCAGACACAGAACAACTCCTGCATGCAGCCTCGACTGCCTACAGCAGAGGTCGATCTCGAGTATGAGTTAAAGCAGCTTTGCTAAGCTGCAAGTGAACATGGAGTAGCTTGGTGCTGTTCTGCTGGAGACTTCATTGCCTACAGCCAGCAGTATTTTAAGTATCAGGCTGTTACTGCACTGCAGCCACAGCCAAGAAACAGCTTGAGTGAAGCAACAGCTTGGACCCGGAGCCCAGCAGCTTCAGGAGGGCCAGGAGCTGCTGAGGCTTCTCTCTGCTGACTGAAGGCTCCACTCCTCTGCCCCTGCCCAGCTCTGAGGCTTGGAAACAGTCAGACCGATATGGATTCATCCAGGACTGCCCTCTTTGAGTCTAACTAATTAGAGAAGGTAAGAAGAGGCAGAGGACTTGAGTGTGGTGCTCATGCGCTGCACCAACCAGTACCTTCTTGAAGAGGACCACGCCATCCTTGCTAAGCTCATACTTAGTGAAGACATCAGCACTGGAGGAAATCCCAAAAGGAATGTCATCCACAGCCTCAGCTGCCAGCAGGAACTCCTTTGCAGCCTCTGATGCCGAATCCTGGAGAACAGAGAGAGGTGTCTCACACGGGACACACCAAAGCGCAGCACAAAGATCCCTGGGCTCACCTGCCAGAGAACTGGAAGATCAAGTAGGGCAGGACAGCACAAGGAGAGCCTCCCCCCCCCGCTGCCCAGGCAACAGCTTCCTGGAGGGAAGCACAAACCCTACCTTGAAGAAGCCAATCACAACCACGTCACTGGACTCCACCAGCGCCTCAGCTGCAGCGGCGTCGCTCAGTGCGGCCGCAGCCGGGCCCGTGCGTTTCTTCAGCCAACTGACGATGTCCTCGGCCTCCCGGCCAGCTGTGGGGACAGGGGCACCCGCTCGCTTCTGTGCCACCGGCTCACCCCAACCCCCACCCCGGCACCAGCAGAACCAACACAGCGTTTACACAACTTTCTCCCCTTCCCTCCCAGGGCGGTTCTGCTGATCCCCAGTGGCCAAGTCAAGGTACAAGGGGCTCCCCGGAATCCATCCTTCCCGGCCAAGCACCTTCTTAAACTTTGACCAGTATGACCACACTCCTACAGGAGCAGGCTTCCCATGCGAGTGCTTCCCCTCTCCCTTTCCAAAACAGAACGCGGGTGGTCAGCTCACTGCTGAGCACAAGGTTTGGTTTAGCTGGATCCTGCTGCTCTTGGTCTTCCTCACACCTCTAGTTTACATCCCATATTTCCTTTTCCCAACCACTCAAGCTTTTGGCACAGTTCGCTGCTTAAATAATTCAAGCTGAGCCACAACCCGGGCTTGGGTTGCTCCACTTTCCTACACAAACCTCAGCCATCTGCTTCACCTCACAGGAGGGATGTCCCCAGCTCCAGCGCAGGAGCCTGCAGCGGCAGCCCCATTCCCACCGCCCCAGAACAGCACCTGCTGAGCACGGCCGCCGCTCAGCCCCAGTGGACCTTATCCGGGCACAGCCGCGCTCCCGGGGGCACGGGGCCGGGACACGGACCTGGCGCCACGTCGTTGCCCTCTGCTCCCGGCTCACCCGTGTACTCCTTGGGAGCGGCCTTGTCGCCGTTCCTGAAGAACTTGATGGTGGGGTACCCGCGCACGCCGAACTGCTGCGCCAGCTCCGCCTCCTCCGTGGCGTCCACCTTGGCCAGCCGGATCTCCGAGCCCTCCGCCTTCAGCTTCGCCGCCGCCTTCGCGTACTCGGGCGCCAGCGCTTTGCAGTGCCCGCACCACGGCGCGTCTGCGGGACGCGGCGTCAGCGCCGGCGGGTCCCGCTTCCGGGAGAGGTCCCCCCGCTCCCATCCAGCCCGGCCCCACCCCCCAAGGAGCCCCGGCCCCAGAGCCCCCCTGCTCCCGGCGCTCACAGAACTCGACGAGCAGGTACCGGTGCTCCGCCAGCGCCTGCTCGAAGCTGTCCGCGCGCAGCACGAGGACCCCGTCCTCCTCCTCGGGGGCAGCGGACGGCGGCAGCAGGAGGAGGCAGATCAGGGCCGCGAGCGCGCAGAGCCCCGCCATGGCGCTGATGGCGGCGGCGGGGTCGGAACAGGCCGGGCCAGGACGTGCGGCCGCGGCGCCGCCTCCGCCTTATAAAGCCGCCTCCCCGGCCGCCGCCGCCCGCCATTGGCCCAGCGCGCCAGATCCTGCCGTCGCGCGGCTCCCATTGGTTACCGCGCTGGACACGCCCCCTGCCCGCCGCCGCGGGTTGGCTGCCGGCCGCGCTCCCCTCCCGCTGGCCGCCATTGGCCCCTTCCCGCGCTGCGTCACCCGCGGTTCGTCGGCACCGCCCCCCCCCGCGCGGCCGCGTGCCCTCGAACGTGGCACTGGGGCGGCCCCGGCGGCGCGCACTGCGCCTGCGCGCGGCCAGGCGAGCGTGGTGGATTCTGACTGGCCCGCCGCCGCCGCTGTTTGACCCGACCCGGAAGTGAAAGGCGGCGCTTCCTGCGCTCGCGGGGGTGGAGCTCCGCGGCACGTGCCGGCGGGGGCCCGTCGCGGCGCGCGGGGCCGGCGCACCGGGAGCCTCGTGGCGCGCGCGTTACCGGCGCGTCCCCGGGCTCCGGCGGCGCTGTCGCGGGTCCCGGGCCGGTCCCTGCGGCTGCAGCCGCTTTCCCGGGGCCGGCGCTCGGCGGTTCCCCCCGGTCAGAGCCCGAGGCTCGGACAAGCAGCGGCCGCTCCCCTTCCCCCAGCGCTGCGGGGCTCATGAAGAGCTTTCCCGGGCTGCGCTTTCCTTATCCCGAACGCAAACACCCGCGGGCTTTTATCGCGGCGGCGCCTCCCTCTCCAGTCACTCCTGCGTTCCTCGGCGCATGCAGGAATGTCCGGGGAGCCGGGGCTCAGCACACAGCGCCCCCGGAGCTGCCGCTGCCCCACGCCCTCCTCGTGCCGCAGCAGGGCCGCTGCCCCGTCCCGTTTCACTCTAAGCCCAGGGACCATCTCCTGCCCCGGGCACTGGCAGAATCCCCCCTCCCCGCCCTCCCCGCCAACCCCAGAGCAGAAGCAGAGCGCGGTGGGCAGTCAGTTCAAAGGTTTTATTTTACTTTCATAAAAGGAGAAGCAGACGATGATTCCAAACCTGTTAACCCGGGTCTAGGACTTACAGACAATTGCACCAAATCAAATGAACAAAAACCTCTCTAGAGGCAGGGCAGGGGGGAGTTAGAGGCAGAGACGTAGCTACGAGAAAGCCACATGTACTTGGTCCCGGTTCTAATACAGCCTCAGTGTGGTTTGATCCCAAGAGGCGGCTGCGGAGCGGGAACGGGCCTGTCCGGCCCAGGGGTCCCAAAGGGCTCCTCCACCCCAGGCACCGACAGCGCAGCCCCGGGCACCGCTGCGGCATCGGAGTGTGAAGGCAATAACTGCCGCCAGGCCAGGCACAGGTTGTAAAGGCAGAACAGATACATAAGGCATTAACCGCTTTGGAGCTTGTCCATCACAAGCTCTTGGTTGACCGTGTCAGGAGCAGCTGCAGAAACAGCCAAGTCCATCCTCAGCCCAGAGCCGGCAGGAGGGTGGGCGCTGGCCTGGAACCTCAGTGCTCGCAGTCACTGCGGCTGCCGGGGTGTGAGGGGACGGGAAGGGACGCAAGTGACGGCAGAGCCGGTGCCTCCCGTGCCCTCATCACCCACCACCCTCCCTCTGGAGATGTCCAGTCTCGAGGGAGGAAGGACCAGCAGCAAAGCGGGAAGTTGTGACTCTTACCTAATAACCCATGAGGGGTGTGACCGAGATGAGCGCCATGCCAAAACCAGGGGACATGATTAAAAAGTGTAACAGGGGCAGGGCCCCCTCCCTAGAGGATCCGTGTTACACATTAAGGCATCATGGTTACAGGGAACATCCACAAATGAAGCTGCCAGAGCTCCCAGCCACCGGCGGGGTGGAGGGGCAGGCTGAGCATGACTTGAGCCAACACATGGGGACAGGAGCTGCCTGGCATCAAAGTCCTTCAGCTGCTGGAGGCAGTAACTACCCTGAGCTGTGCACAGGAGGCCAAGCACAGGAGCTATGAGGGCACAGGTGTCTCCCCTCCAGCACCTACCGGGATAAGGGCAGGTGGGAAGCAGGAAGGGGCCCAGCCCTGCACCAGCAGCATGGCCCAGGCCAGGCAGCTGGAGACCAGATGCAGACAGCAGGGTTTGGACAATGCACTCAGAGATTCTCTGGGGAGGGGGCACAATACAAAACTGAGCTCTGGTCAAATCATAATGGGGTGGGGGGAAGGGAGGAGGGTTCCAATGTCAGCACTTTGGTACAGGGGGAATTTCTACGGTAGCCACTGTCTGATTCACGCGCTCTGGGGTTTGGCCTCGGGAAGGGCTACTCCTTCCACTCCTTCTTGATGGTCAGGTTCCACTCCCAGGACAGGTGGTCAGTCTTATCATCATCTGTGAACTTGGATTTGACATTGTAGTTGCCCCGGGCCAGCATTCCCTTAGGGGCTTCTTCCATGGGGGTCAGAAACTCGTATTCCTCTGCTCGAGGGCCGTAGCTGCCAACCATGTATTCGGTCTTGTCAACTACAGGAAGACAAGAGTGGAGCACAGCGCCTGGTTTAGAGCCTCCCCTGCACCTGGGGCAAGGCTAAAGCAGATGCGAGGCCTGTGACAGCTACAGGCCATAATGAAGCTGTGAGGACAGAGGAGTCACCCACATCCACAGCTCTGCTCCAGGAACAGCTCCTGCTGCAGGGAGCGACTCCCTCCGTCAGCACCGAGCTGCTCCCCAGGCAGGAGCGTGTCCAGCCGGGTGCTGTGGGTGCTGCTGCCCCGCACAGACCAGGAACATTCACACATCACCCTGCGGTGCCTGGGACTGGCTGCCCCCCCAGCAGACGAAGCAGAACCCCTCACGAGCAGCACCCGCCTCAGAGCAGCACTTACTCTTCACTCCTTTCCGGAACGTGTGCTGAATGTACTTCAACCCTGACACGATCTCCCTGTTAACCTGCAGGGAGACAAGCAAGGACTGTGCAGACATCCACAGAATCCCAGCCTGGTTTGGGTTGGAAGGGACCTTAAAGCTCATCCAGTTCCAACCCCCTGCCCCAGGTAGGGACATCTTCCACTAAGGTGGAGGCTCAAACCTCCTCAGCACATGGCCCATCCCACCACAGCAGGAGACTGCTTCCCCCATCACCCCCCTTTTTGGGGGTCAGGAATCGCTCTGGGATTGCAGCGTCCCAATGTTCATTTGTTCTTCTGTTCTGAGACCTCCGTTCTTACCCGAAAGGAGATTTTTATCCGGTATTCCACACCCTCCTTCAGCACAAATGCTTGCCTCCTGTAGCTCTCCAGGTCACCTACAGAGAAGGGAGAGGGCTGCTCAGGGTCCCTCTGTATTGTGCTCTGGGGCGTTGAGGACAGTATCTGCAGGAGCAGGCGGTGACTCTTGGAGTGGGACGGCTGCTCCGCACAGGGCTGCGGAGGCCCCAGCCTAGGCTTGTGGGACAAACCCTTCATGCCTGCAGCACAGGCATTCCCAACAGGGAGTGGCTCCCACAGGCTCTGCTCCAAGTGGCTCTCCCCGGGAAGGGCTGGAATTCTTCCCTAGCTCACCTGTCAGGTCCAGCTCCAGAGGGCCCGGGGCAGTCGTGCAGACCAGAGTCAGTTTGGTCACCACCACGTTTGGAGCATTGGGATCTAGAAGACAAGTGCAAAGGCTGTTAAACACCTTTCCCTAAAACCAGCCAACACAAACCCTTTTCCTTCCAGGGCTCTTCTAGAAAGAGCAAGAAAATCAGTGAGAAGAATGTCCCCCTTGGCCGAGGTCCCGACCATGTGGGGCCAGCCCACAGTGTCCCCATGAGCAGCCCCCTCTAAGGGCAGTGTGACACCTGCAGTTCCTGCACCTTATTCCAAGGGCTGGAGATCAGCCCAGGGAGCACAGACATGTCTTTCTGCTCCTGGCTGGGAGCAGGGAGGAGGAAGGAGGTGACTGATGGAGCTGCAGCTTGAGCGAGGCACAGCCACGTCCTCGGCTCACCTGCGCTCACAGTGACGGCACCAAGCAGCGCCTCCTTGTACTTGCGCAGGCTCTCATCGTCCTTGTCCAGCTCCTGGATCTCCTGGATGCTCTTCTGGGCAGGGGGCTTGTAGTTGACAGAGTGTTCGTCCTCCTCATTTTCAGCTGCAATCTGGGCCAGCTGCTCAGCTGTGGGCTCCTGCTCTGCCATCCTCACACGCACCACGTACACTGCAGTGGGAAGGAGAAGTGAAACTGCACCCACCTGCTCCAGCCAGGCCTCCTCAGCACCGTGACTGCAGGGACACAGCCCTGCCCGGGGCCCGTGGCACAGCGCCTGCAGGGACAAAGCCCTGCCAAGGCCCCTGGTGCACCCCCTGCAGGCTCCTCCAGACCAAGGCTCATGTTCAGCCCATGGAGGCCCACAAAGAGAGGGGAAAATTCAGCCTCGGTGCTTTACTCATAAGCTGGAACAAGTAAACACCCAAAGCCATAGGGAAGATGCGCTGCTCCACAAGACAAGCGGGTAATCTCGTAATAAACCTGAGACCACAACAACCCCAGTTCAGTTCTGCTCTCTACAACGTACAATTCCTGCTGAGAACAGCCCTGCCCCACCACGGGCACAAGTGCCCGGAGCCTCTGCTGCAGCGCGGAGCTCACAGCTCGTGCCTCGGAGCCGCTCCGAGTCGGGTGCCAGGGCAGGAGCACGAGGCTCCTGCTCGGTGCAGCCCCCACTCGGCCCTTCCCGAAGCTCCGTGTCTCCAGAGAAGGGATCGAAACCGCAGCGCCTGGCTCGGCTGCGGAGGCTCCCACCGGGAATCACCGCTGCTAACCCCAACCCTAACCCCAACCCTAACCCTAACCCCAACCCTAACCCTAACCCCAACCCTAACGGCAACGCCAGCACCCAGGTAAAGAACTGCACAAGGCAGCGGCACCCACGGAGGTTCCTGGTGCTCCTGTGGGCGCTGAGCCCAGCGGCACCAACAGCAAACCTCAGCCTGGACCCTCGGAAGTCTTAAAACACTTCCAGTGACAGCTTTGGAAACAAAGCTCTGCAAACAAAACCCTTCACCAGTGACCTGCTGACCGA